CGCCGCCGCCGCCGCCGCCGCCGCCGCCGCTTTTAAAAGCAAGTATGTACGAGGCCGTAACATTCACAAGCAGATACATAATCATTGATAAATCCCACTATTACCAGGATAGTCTGGTTTAGATTTTATGTGTGGGGAGAGAGAGAGAGAGAGAGACAGAGCAGGAGGGAGGGAGGGAGGGAGAGTACAAAACTGCAGCAATCAATAGTTTGACCATTGCTCCTCCCCCTTAACTTGAAGCATTCCCCCATGATTGATGATCTCGGGTGGCTTTGGTAATTGACTGCTCTGAGGTAAGGCATGTTTCAGTTCCAGCAAAGTGATTGGAGGAGGCTGCACACGCGCGCGCGCGCACCCCTCCCACACCAAAATTAACGTGGTAGGTAGCGCTTGTGAGTGCCTGTGGGAGAGGAAAAAAGTGAGAGAGACGGGCCGCGAAAGTGTGTTTTCAAAAGTTCACTTGATCGTAGGAACGAGAAGGCACCATCGCACTAGTTCTGCAGAATAACCGCTACAGCTAGCATAATAACAAGAACAATAATAATCCCTGTTAGGGAATACAAATTCTACAAAAGAACAAGTAAAACAAGCTCAGGAAGGCACCAGAAGGAGGGATTAGTCCCAATTTTAAAAAGTGCGTTAAAAATGTATATACTGTACTGCAGTTTGAAAAAAATGAGAGAAAGGGGGGGGTCTTGTCTTCGCCTTTTAACGCCCAAGCAGCGCCAAAGCCCAGCCTAAAAGGATGTATTTTCCTTTCCTCCCTCCCTCTTAGTCCCCTGCGTAGACCCTCGCCTCAAACATCATACAACGGGGATGATGGAACCGAGCACATAATAAAGAAGGATGCCAAACGGAGCGCTCTCCCCCAGGAAAATTAATCTGAGCAACAGCAGCCACAAAAGGTAGCGAGTTTACACAGAGAAGGAAACACGCGGCACAGACAGCTCTTTCAATGCACCCTTCTGGCAAGGATGGCGGACTTTGTTAAGGCAGGCGAGGAGTTTCCGCTGGCAGAACAAGTTTGCCTGCGCCTCTTTCTAAACATTCGCAACTGCCCGAGTTCCTTCGGCCGTCTCCTGGACATTGAACCATTGCAGGGCTGAAAGTTACCCTCCGAAGAAGAGAGATACAAACGCCGGGCGAAGAGATGGCTAAACAGCACGGCCAGGCAGACGAGGATATTGAAGGGTAAAATCTCCTCATTAAAAAAAAAGCAACAGATCTAGGCTTCTAGGATACTTTTTTCCTTCGGTGCTTTTTGCAGTTCCCACGCACGCACGCACGCACGCAGCCAGCCCATCTCCCCCCCCTTCTCTTTTTTGCTCCCTCTCCTGCTTCTTTTTCTTCGTCTTCTTCTTCCTCCTCCCGTGACTCCCTCTTTATCCTTCCACTCTCCGTTTCCTATCTGGAAAGGCGACCCGGCTTGGTTAAGGTCCCTGAACGTGCTGCGTTGCGCCCCCGCCTCCCCACCCCCGGTGGCGTGGAAACAGCCCTGATTGCATACTCTGCATATCGCAGGCTGTAAGCGCGAGCTGGCTCGCCCGTTTTCGCCCGCTCTCTCTACTCCCTCTCCCCTCTCCCTTGTATGTGTCTCTCTTGTAGGACTGGCTATGGCCACCCCTACCTCCGGGCTCCGTCATTTCATTCTCCCGCCGATCAGCGCCGCTAAACTGAGCCTCTTCTATAAGCCAGCCAGCAGCCAACCTGCCAACACTTACTGACACTCACTCATCTCAGAGGGAGAGGTGAAGAGGGAGACAAAATACCTACCGGGAGGGGGGAAAAACAACGCGCGCGCGCACACACACTCACACAAGCACGCACATACACACGCACACAAAAAGAACGGAGGAAGTCCACGTTTTGCAAACTATTCCATTTTTCTTCGCATCCTACCCCACCCTCCCCCTCCCGGTAGTTAAAAAAAAAAAAGAACCTATAGCTTTCCTACAAGCAAATCCCAAACGCGGACTTACTGAGAGAAGAATCCGAGGTTAAAAGATTCCTCTTTTCTTCTTCTTCTTCATCATCAGCCATCATTCATTCACTACCTTGACATTCCATGGCTTTGATTGACAGCTGGAGTGGCAAAAAGCCATGAGACACGACAGTTTGGTTACATGTGGGTTGCTGACGGGCCGATCGTAACCTTCAGTGTGGGGCTTGGCGACTTTTATTTTTATTTTTTTTTTAAATTACCATCAATTTTTTTTACGTAAAAGAAGAAAAAAGGAAAGACACAGAAAAGGGAAATAAAGAAGAGCACGCGGGGAAAACAGACAAACTCTACGTGGTTTATTTTTCCCTACTTTTTATTGTTATAACGATTATCTTTATGAATATTTACGCGTATTGGAGAACTCTATAAGTGGGTCGGAGAGACAAGGGAAAAGGGATTTTTCTTCTTCCTTTCCTTCTTCTTCTTCAGTCACTTTGTTGGTGGTGTTGCTGGACTGGGATATTAAATATAGGACACATCCCGGAGTTTATTGGAGCGCAGACTGATGGCGCAAAGGGTAGGTTTAAATCTCCAACACTTACCTTACGTATAAATCCTTTCTTAAGAGGGGCCTGTCGGATTTGCTCTTGTCTGTTGCTGCTGCTCATGGCGGCCACTATTTAGAGAAACAAAACAAATAGCAGCAAAAATTATTCACCAGTTTTGTGTGTGCGTGTGCCTCTATGTCTCTCTTTCTTTCCCTCTCTCTATGTGTGTGTGTGTCTCCCTCTGTGTGTGTGTGTGTGCGTGTGTGTGTGCGTGTGCAATTGTTCCACGCTTCTTTCCTCTCTAGCTTTTCCCCCAACAGCGCGATTTCCCTGCTCCTCTCTAACTGCTCAGTGGCGCGCGGTTTTCAGGGGGGAAGGTTTGCCTGCTGCTGCCGCCGCCGCCGCCGCTTCTGCTGCTGTGGCTGTTGCTGCCGCTGCTGCCGCCGCCGCTGCCTGGGAAATACAGCTACATTTGCTGCTTGGTTTGTCTCTGATTTTGACAAGGACAAGGGGGAATTGCGACTAAATAATGTTTCTGGTAACTTTCAGATTATTTGCTCCCATTCTCTCGCGCCCTTCTTTCCCTTTTCAGGCTTGCTTTCCCTTCCTACTCTGCAGCATTAATCTGGTTACCGGTGGGATGTTAGTTTATCTGTTGCCCCGTCTCCTCTAATTCGTAGACCGTTTCCTCCTTCTTCCCTTTCACACTTCCCCTTCCCGTATTTTGCCTTCGATAGAGCTCTCCCCACAACCGGCTCACACACACACACATTCCTTGCCCCCTTCCTCCCTTGCCCTTCCCCCCAGCTCTGTCGACTGCACTTTTTATTTTGATTTCAGTTTGTATCGCTTTCCTCTCTGTTGTGGCTGGTCTTGGTTTGTAGTTTCGCTCTGTTTTGTCTGACTTGCCTGGGTGCTTTACTCTCTTCTGACTTCTGTTGTTGTGTTTTTTTTTTGTTTATTTCTCCCCCTCTCTCCCCCCTCCCCTTTCTCTTTCTCTCTCGCTTTCCTCTCTCTCTTCTTCTGGTTCTGCTTCTCTCCTTTTCTGGCCCATTTTCTTTTTGACAGTACGATGAGCTGCCTCATTACGGCGGGATGGACGGAGTAGGGGTACCTGCTTCCATGTATGGAGACCCTCACGCCCCCAGGCCGATCCCCCCAGTACACCACTTGAACCACGGCCCGCCACTGCATGCCAGCCAGCATTATGGAGCCCATGCCCCGCACCCCAATGTCATGCCGGCCAGCATGGGATCGGCTGTCAATGACGCCTTGAAGCGGGACAAGGATGCAATCTATGGGTAGGTACAAGGCAAGGCAAGCCAGGCGCTGTGGCCCGTTCCTTGCAGCATATGTGTATTTCGGGGTTTGTGTGTGTGTGTGCAAAGGGCTGGGGAGATCAGAGAAAGGGGATGGAGGGGTAGTCATGCAGCACAAGGAGTGCGGTAGGCACAAGATTTTTTGAAGAGTAGCGGCTTTTAAACAATCTCTCCTTCGTAAAATCCTCCTCGGGGTTTCTTCCTTGAATCTAGAGGACACGTGTAATTTGTCACTATAGATCAACAGTTCTTTTCTGCATTTTTGTAAGTAATAAAAACATTTTAGGTCGATAAAGTAAAAATGATACAAATACTGGGAAAGTTCAGCTAAGAAATCCCACGGAGAACGCAGGAGGGATTGATGGGCATGGATTTTGACACAAGAGGTGTACTGGAACTGCATTCAGATTTTAGTGAAATCAGTGTTGCTAGGCTTCTCCATTCTTCGGACACCCCAATCTTAAAGACAGCTACTTAAGAGCTTTTTAAAACCATTATTGCTCTCTAGCATCTTAGAAATGAAAAGGAAGCCTAGTTTCCCCGGACTCATTTACACATATGCAAATGCTACTGAAATCACTGGGGATTGTGCTGTTTATTTAGATGTTGCTCTGTAAATGCAGAATTACTCAAAATAAAATGTTGTGGGTTAGTCCTTAAAAACAAAGCCGGGGTGGGGGAATGGGAAGATTGGGAGAATGGTGTTCTCTTCAACAAAGTTTTATTTAGGTGATATTTTTCTTTCTTTAACGCATGCAGTAACAGCCCTTGTGCCATAACACTAGGAGCAAAGATTTCGAAAGAACACCGAACATAAGGACATTTACTATTTTAACGCACATATCACCCAGTCAGACCCTGATTCTCCAGGCAGTATCTGCCCGGACAATGAGGAGAAATTTATTCAGTCCTCTTCTCTTTTATGACGGGGCAGTCGATATTTAATCTGGACGCATTTCTTCAGCCTCTACCGCCCCGGGATCCCCTTCCTTCTCCTCTCCCTCCCTCCGCCAGATAGTATGTCTCTTGTTAGTTCTCACCAAAATATGAAACGACCTTAGAGTTTGGGTAAAAGTCAAGTCTTCCCGTTTAGGTACTAGACGAGGGTTCTGCTGGTTTCCTTGCTAGGTTAAAGCTGCGGGACCTTCGCAGCGGAACCTGGGGCTGGGTACTTGTGCTGGTGGCGCACACGGGTTTGTGGAGCTCGGTTTTGGCCCAGGATTATTGTGGGGAGACGTCTGCATGTGTTGTTACTTTCTGCGTTTGGCCTCGTGTCGTCCCTTCCATTACTTATGGAAAGGCCAAGGCACGTAAGATTGCGCGTGAAGATAGATATGTTTATTTTATTTTTGACCGAGGAAGAAACTTGTTGATTAGGCTTTCCCCCGTATTTTCTTAATGTCGTTCTCCCCTCCTTTTCTTTGTGTGTCATCGCCCGGCAGGCACCCGTTGTTCCCTCTGTTAGCTCTGGTCTTTGAAAAGTGCGAGCTCGCCACCTGCACTCCCCGAGAGCCCGGGGTGGCCGGCGGAGACGTCTGCTCCTCCGACTCCTTCAACGAGGACATCGCCGTCTTCGCCAAACAGGTCGAACTCTTTCCCTCCCCGCTTTTCCCCGCCCCTTCCCCGCACACC